GCAGTACAGTAATGGGATCAGTAAACAATCTCTTAGAATAGTCCTATAACATAGATTTGGACTAGAGTGGTAGCAGTGGCAAGAAAACAGATTTAATTTCTTGTGGATGAGAGTTTACTACTAGTTCTAAAACATTTTCTGGGCCACCTGGCAGCATTATGATGGATGGTGAAGAGACTGAAATTGTCAACAGCTTTAGTTTACTTGACTACATGATCAACCCTCTTGGTACTAGCAGCCAAGAAATCAAGAGACAAATTGCATTGGGAAAGTTGGCTGTCAGGGACCTCTCCAGAGAACTGAAGAGCAACGATGTCAGTCTGGACTCTAAGGTGCACCTGATCTAGGCCTTTTGTTATTGTTGTTGTTATGTGCTGTCCAGTCACCTGTGACTCATAGTGACCCTATGTACAACAGCCTTAAACCCTGCTCTATGTTGTGCCAGTCTCACTGTTTCCAACACACCCACCCCGATTACCCCGTCACTGAATCAATCCATTTCATAGAGGGTCTTCCTCTCCTGCACTGTCCCTCTCCAATGACTGGTCCCTCCTTGCAACATGTCCAAAGTATGTCAGACAAAGCTTCAGAATACTTGCCTCCAAGGAGCAGTCTAGTATAACCCTCTCCAGAATGAACCTATTCATTTTCTTAGTAGTCCATAGTATATTCAATACTCTTCCCCAACACTACAGTTCAAAGGCATCAATTCTCCTTCTATCCTCCCTAGTCATTGTCCAGCTCTCTAATGTATAGGAAGTGATTGTAAAGACCGTGGTCTGTATCAGGCACACCTTAGTCTCCAGAGTGACACCAATGCTCTTCGGTACTTTAGAGAGGTCCTAACAGCAGACCTTCCCATTGCAATGCATCTTTCAATTTCCTGACTGTTGGTGCCAAGACTGTTGACTGTGGAGCCAAGCAAACTAAAGCTGTGAACAATCTCAATCTCTTCACCAGCCTTCCTGATGCTGTTAAATGGCCCAGTGGTGAGAATTTTTGTTTTCTTGTTATTGAGCCTTAATCCATATTGAAGGCTGTAGTCCCTGACGTTCTGCAGCAAGCACTTCAGGTCCTCTTCAGTTTCGGCAAGCAGGTTTGTATTACCTGCATAATGCAGACTGTTGATGAGTCTTCCTCCAATCCTGATGGCACACTTCTCCTCATACAGTCCAGCCTCCCAAATAATCTGTTCTGTATATAGGTTGAAAAGGTATGGAGATAGGACACATTCCCAGTTTTGAACCATGCAGTGTTTCCTTGCTCTGTTCTGATGACTGCTTCCTGGTCCAAGTATAGATCCAGGCCATAGCATTCACAATTGCTTGCTATGCGTCAGAGAGCTGGACAATGACTAGGGATGATATAAAGAGAATTGATTCCTTCGAGCTGCGGTGCTGGAGAAGAGTTTTGAATATATCATAGACTGCCAGGAGAACAAACAGGTTTGTCCTAGAGAGGGTGAAACCAGTCTGCTCTTTGGAGGCAAGGATTTTGAGGCTTCGTCTGACATATTTTGGGCATGTTGCAAGGATGGACTTGTCCTTGGAGAGGGACATCATGCTTGGAAGGGTAGAGGGATGGAGAGAGGGAGACCATTGATGAGATGCATTGATACAGTGACTGAGGTAATGAGGTTAGGTGTGTTGGAGACAATAAAGTTGGCACAAGATAGAGGTGTTTCAGGGCTGTTGTATTATGTATTATGGTTATCACAAGAGTCCAGAATTAAGGTTGCATAGGGGAGTGTACTTGGGCAGTGTGTGTGTGTGGAGGGACTGTATACCAATGAAAGAATTTTTCTTTTACTTTTCAAAGGGAGGAGCGAACTGGGGGGGGGGGGATGTGCAACAATGAATGAACGGAAACCCAAAATCTCTGTAAATGTTCGTTAAAATTAATAAAATTTAAAGAAAAAACCAAAACAAACAAAAACAAAACAAACTAGCACTGTGAAGAAAACCCTGCAAGATTACAGCTAAGAACAAGACACAGGGCAGTTCTACTCTCTCACATGGTATTTCTCTGACTGGAAACTGACTTGCTAGCACACAACAGGACAAACATTTTACTAAATAACCATGATAAGTACTTTATGAGTAAGTGAAGAAAAGTCAAATAGATGGTTAAAAAGTAGTGAAAATTAGTCCGCAGGCTGATTCCGACTCACGGAGACTTCATTTGGGCAAGATCACAGGGCATGTCTTCTGAGATGCCTCGGAGTGAGTTCAAATTACCACACTCAAGCTTTTGCATTGCCCACAGAGTCCATAATTTTGGTATAGTCACTCATAACAGTTGAGTCCTGCTGGTTTATTTTGTCTTAAGGAATAGTTACTTAAAACTTTCTGTACTATAATACTGAAAATTTACTAAGCACAGTTTGAAAATATGCTGGAGTTAAAAAAACAACAACCCACAAACAATACAAATTCAACCCCCAAAACCAGTCAAATTTCTTGTCTATAATGTCAATATTGAACTTCACAAACTTAGCCGCTTCTCTACAAACTGGAATTTTCTATCAAAAATTTGCAGCTACCTCAAACTTTGTGCTCAATATATTTTCTCTGCTGTCAAAGTAATACCCTTGCAGAAAGCATATATTTCTGACTTTTACCTTCTCCTATGTGGTTTTTCTGTACCATCAAGTCAGAACTGGCTCATAGCTGCCCCTCCAGTGGGTTTTCAGTTTAACAGGAGATTATCCATCTTTCTCCTATGGAGCAGCTGGTAGATCTGACTTAGAACCTTTTCCTATACACCTGTTAATCCATTGAAGATAGCTTCAACCAAAAAAAAAATCTTGCCTACATTCATACAGATCACATTTCCTTCAGCTGCAATTTATTTCCAGGTAAGAAGCCCGTGCTATGAAGCCAAAGGCATGTGGCATCGATGAGCTGCTCCTGGGAGAAAGATGAACAATTTTCTCTCATGAGATTTACAGCCTTTGGAAATTTGCTGGTGGTTCAGCTATGAGTTGGTTCCAACTCAATAGCATGTAACAACAAAATAAAACTAAATGCTTGTGAAACTTCTCCACTATGTCTCATATACTTAACTGTAAACATCATGCTTCCGGCATAGATAGTACATCATTTTTCCCTCAAAACAGAAAAGTTTGCATAATCTTTCACCTCAGTAGTATGTATATGGCCAATTATACCTAGTATACCCCCACCAAAATACACTACTATATTATAATCTATTTACCTTTGCTTTTAAAATGTATCTTTAAAGGATATGTTCCCAATTAAACCACTTATCAGTAGCACATTTGAAGAGAAAAAAGAAAAAAACATGTATATTACTGGTATGGAAGGGAGAGAGGGCAAGGAAAATGAGAAGAGTATTAACTCAAAACACTTAAGTTCCAGTTTGTATTTTCCGTATGAGTGTCTTTCTTACAGGTCTGCGGTGGGTGAACTTTGTATCTCCTTCTAATTTAAAGCTACCTAGGAAAACTAGTAAGAACATGAAATTTTAAGGCTATATAGAAAATAATACACCTGGAACATGCTCAAGATTTTTAATTTTAAGCAGCTCCGGCTGACTTAAAAAGGAGCTGTGAGGGCGAAGTGTGGAATGTTACCAGGCTGCTAATCAAAAGAATCAGCAGTTCCAACCCACCAACATCTCTAAGGAACAAGATGAGTTGCTTCCTCTTGTAAATTTAGTCGCTATGAGTAGATCTGGTGGGTTTTTTAAAAGACTTAAATTCACCCATTCGCCATCCATCGGTTTTCCAAGACTATAAATCTTTACAGAAGACTGCCCATTTTCCTGCTGACACGTAACACAGCACAGCATCAGGCATTTAATTATGCAAAGGGAGGAGTAAAGGAACCTTGGTGCTGCCATAGTTAAACGACTGATCTGCTCATGAAAAGGTTAGCAGCTGGAACCCACTAGCTCCATGGAGGTAAAAGTTTGGCAATTTTTTAAGAGTTCAGCGTAGAAAATTCTCTTTAGGGTATTTCTACTTTGTGCTGTAGGTAGGTTCACTGAGTCTAAATCAAGGAAACAGCATACAACAACAGAGGAAGAGGAAAAAAATGGGTGGCGGCTGGGAAGAAGAGGGAAGGATATTTCAAGCTCGACTAGAATTCTTAGGATTGCATCACTGCAAGAATTCTGTTAAGAGCTTGTTTTCTATGGTGCAGCAAAAAACTAAGTTTATGCCTAGAGGAATTCTCTGCTCTCCGAAAATTCTCTTTTAGCTCCAAAAGCAAATTCCCCAGAATGGTAAGGGGAATTCCCTCCCTCTCTTTCGTAACTCTCATTAGTGAACGAAGAGGCGCCATCCCCCTACTTGCAGGGACCTCAAACCCGAACCCGAATTACATGTCTATTGTGTTGCCCCGCTTTCTCTACTTCAAGTATCCCGGGCCTCTTTTCTCTCTAGTCTAGTTTCCATCTGAACTTCTCCGCTACGCGCCACCGCACCCTTCTCTCCTTCGCTTTACTGGATGGGAGCCCAGTCCGCAGAAACGGAGACAGCCACGCGCGCGGCGGGTTGCAGTCAGCACGCTCTAGATGTACACCCTCCCTCTCTTTTCAATCTCTTTCCCAAAGAAACCCGCTACTGTGATTAACTGCACTCACTTACCCCAAGGTGTAAAATTCTTCTAGGGATTTGAAAGAAGAAAAGGCAAGTCCGGAGATGTGATTGCTACTGCTTGAGACAGCCCCGTCTCGCGGTAGATACGAGGATGTGCGCTCTCCTCCCTCCCGGCACCCGTAGCACCCCTGCCGGTGACAGAACTTTACAGATTATCCTTCCGGGTCACTGCGCATCTAGAGCCAGCAATGGGAATACTGAACTACCTAAAATTCCTTTCGCAACACTTCTGGAATCCCCTTCTCGTGACCAAAACTATTTTAAAAGGATGTTTCTGCTAACAATACCTTCTCCACCACCTTGCTTTGATTTGTAGACCGGAAGAGTCCTTGAACCAAAATAGCTCGGCAGGCACTTCCGGGATCGGAGACCAGGGTTCCGGGAGAGTGCCCAGAAGAGGAAAGGCGGCGGCGACGGCGGAGGTGGCCAGAGGATGAAGAAGGAGCAAGTGCTGCACTGTCAGTTTTCCGCATGGTACCCACTGTTCCGAAGCCTCACCATCAAGAGGTAAGATGAGAAGATTTACTCTGGGGCAGCAAGGCAAAGGAAAAGGGCGACATTTTTGGCAAATATCATCTTCATTTTTTAAAAAAATGGCCTTATTTTTAGTGGAACGGGAAGCCGAGGAATCGATTTTCTAATGGTATTCAACGGAGCCCTGTTGAACCCTGGCTATGCTGTCAACCTAAAGACACATGGTTCGAACCCGCCAGGTGAAAGATGGGCAATCAACCCTTGTGCGATTTAACTGCCTCTAGACCCTCTAAAACCCTCTAGAGGGTCAATTGTGGGTCATTTCTGACTCGACGGCAGTCAACAGCAGTGGTATTTAAGGGAGCGCTGATGGCTAAGTGGGAAGGAGCTGTACTGCTGACTCAAGGTACGTGGTTCTAATGCAGCAGCTGCTCCGCGAATGGTAGATGGGCAGTCTCTCCTGTGCGCTTTACTGCTTCTAAAAACCCACTGAAGGATCACCTGCAGGTCGATTTCGACCCGGTGGTACACAGCAACAACAACGAGTGGGATTTGAAATGGATTGATAAATTAGTGTTTGCCGTCCACCTTATGCTAAGAGAGTGAGGAAGGTAAATCAGGGAGTCGGGGACCGGATGAGTAGTGGATTAACCTAGTTTGGGTTTGAGAGTTGTGCTCTTCTCTCTTCACCATCGTCCTCCCAGAATGAGAGCATGAATGGGCCAGAGAGGCATGATAATCCGGAGAATCTAATAGTCACTTCACTGCTTTTCTTTTTGGTAAAATGATCACAGTTGTAGCATTAAACCTGACTACCTTAATCCGTTGTCAAGTTGCTAGATGATAATGTACGTTAAAAAGTGTCAATATATGCTGAGCTGAGTGATCTAACTCAAATACTGCATAAGACTATTATAAAAATAGATGGACAACTAGTAAAGTATGTATGAGAGTCTAAATGGGAAAGGAGTTGGAAACAGAGGGGTTAAGGTGGGCAAGGGGGAAATCACAGGGTCGCACAATTTGGTGGTGGGAGGGAGGGACTAAAGGAAATAGAAAAGATCTGGCAGGGAGGGACCTGAGAAGGTGTAATGGTGGGCATAGTTTAATGGTGGTTAATTTTATAAGACACAATGTATGGGGATGATTGTATGAAACAATGTAAATGAAGGAAAATGTGAAACAAAATAATGCATATGAATTTTGTATGCACACTCATATAAAATAAAAAATGAAAAAAGTGTCAGTATTCTGTTAACGTTGAACAACGCCATATGTCTAGTGGCTAGACACTTCTCTACCCAGTGACAAATTCAAGTATAACTTTCAGTTCCCCCAAAATGACTAACTGCTTGATATTGACCAGACACTGTATTATACATACTACACCCACATAAAAGCTGTATTTTGAAAACAAGTTATTTCACTAAAAGTGCAGGGTTTTCATGTCTACTGGTGTAGCTGCAGCAATAACCTCACAATTTTGTTTTCTCCTTCAGTGGTCTTTACACTGAATTAATTTATCTTGGAATAGTACACACCCACAAGTGCAGACCTCAATCTCCACTCCATATGAAGTGGTTTAAGTTTTTCTTTATATCATAACTTTGCTTTTGGAGACAAATTCTCACATCACTAGTAGCATTTCATATGGGTCTTGTGGTATTATTCAGCATTTACAGTATTGCACTAAGTTCTGTCTTTTATTGCAGTGCTCAATTTATGAAGAGATTGAACTATTCAGGAAGAGGTGATTTGTGCCACACAATATTTTTTTTAAAAAGTCTGTGCACTTGAAGCAAGGGTCAGTTGTAGTTATATATTGTTAAGGATAGTGATGTACTGTGATAGAAGCCAATATGGGGAAGGAGAATAGAATAGTACTAGTTTCTTAGTTCTCTGCTTTAGAAAAATGAATCCATTCCCAATTTGTAGGACAAAGAGAGCATTAACTATTTCTTTCTTTTATCCCATCATTCAAGGTACTAGACATAGACAAGGTAACTAGAATACTCTTAATTTTCAAATGAAGTCATAGCATCTGCTACCTGATGCAGGAATTGGTTTTCACTCACTAAGAGGGTTTCTGTCGATAAATCTTCTGTTTACCCCTTTCTCCTTTAGATCTAGATTGCCTTTTTATTTTTATTATAGTCTTTTTCATTTCATTGGAGTACAGAAAGTAAGTACAAAGAAGGAAACTTTTTCAGTCTTGAAGTGTTGAAAAATCGCATTGAGGGTATTAAAAAAAGACAATTCTTTCCTATCATGTTATGTAGACTCTGCTTCCAGTTATCCATAGAATAAGACAGGCTAACCACTTAAATGAATACAATTTTTGCTTTTCCTAGTGGTCAAAGTCACATTAAAACAAACTGTATCTAAGATTGTTTTAGGGAGCTCTGGTGGCCTAGCGGCAAGAAACTTCCCTGGAATCCCAAAGGCACTTGGTTTGAGGCCCCCAGCTGCTCCACGGGAGAAGGATGGGCAGTCTCCCGTGCAGTTAACTGCCTCTGAAAACCCACCAGTGGGTCAGATATGGGTCAGTTCCAACTCTACGGTAAACAACAACGAGATTGTCTTAAACATTCCAATGCTGCACTACACTAATTACTCAATTTAAATGGAAGCCATAACTTTAAATTGGGTTATTGGTTTTTAATTACATTAAGTTAAAATGTATAATAAAAAATGTTCTTAAATAATGATGGCATATTTAAGACAATCTAATATTCAACTATATAGGCCAATTTGCTAGCTTTATGAGTTAAATGCTTCTGAAGGTTTATTTGTACTCAGTTAAAATTCTTTAAAAGAAAATAAAATAGGTTATTTTTCTAGATTTTAAGTTCATGAAGGAGCTTTCAGCTGCATGTTCTCACTTAAGAGTATTTAAGACTTAATGGATTTATAAATAGAGTAGTAAGATTTCTTAACTGAAAAGACGGAGAAAGGTCTAGAATTTTCAATTGAGCATTGATAAATATTAATAATTAAAATGAAATAGCTCATCAGTATTCTTTTCTGTGCACAAAACAATTCATAATGCATATACACACACACAAAATCCTCAATGAGTGAGGTGCATTATAAGTCAATGTCCAGATAACTCTAAAAGTAGGTTGTAATCTTTATCACTTTTTAAAAAAAATATGTGCTTTAAAATAAAAACAGTATACTTTCCCATGATTGCTTATAGCAAGTTAAAAATGCAGATTAACCCATTAGTTTCTAAGTAATTTCAAGTGTGGTTTTTCCTTAATGATTATCTGACATCAGTTAATGTAAAGCATGCCCCATCAAGCAGCTTTATACCTGACAGCTCAGTAGGTTACCATGAAGACATATGAATTCTTACCCTTACATGGGTAGCTAACTGCAAAATGGTTTTCTAATAAAGTCTGCTAGAAAATAGTCAAGTATTGTTAATTGTTTGGCTTATTTTGTTGGATTTCTTGTGCTTTTGCAAAGATTTTCTGGTCCTCTTTCCCCTAAAGACACATAATCATTTTGCTAACTCAAATTATTTTGAGCTTGTTGCTTTTATACTGTGATTTCAGTCTGGTTCTTGGATTTGGATAGGATTTTTGTTGTTTTGTTCACTACAAAGAAGATTGTGACAATTATAGGAACCTAAAGGATTGAAGTTGTTGTTGATTTCATTTTACTTGGATCCACAATCAACACTCATGGCAGAAGCAGTCAAGAAATCAGAAGACATGTTGCATTGGGAAAATCTGCTGTCATGGACCTCTCCAAAGTGCTCAAGAGTAACAATATCAGTTTAAAGACTAAGATGCACCATAGTCATTTCAGTTGAACAATGAATAAGGAAGATCAAAGTAGAATCAATGCCTTTGAGTTGTGATGTTGACAAAGAATATTTTGAATGTTCCATGGACTGCCAAAAGAACAAATGAATCTGTCTTGTAAGAAGTGCAACCAGGGTGTTCCTTAGAGGCAAGAATAGTAGGACTTAATCCCACAAACCATAAGCATGTTATCAGGAGGGCCCAGCCCTTGGAAAAGGACATCATGCTTGGGAAAGTAGGGAGTCAGTGAAAGAGAGGAAGACCTTTAACACGATGGATTGATACAGTTACAGTGACAGCATAGATTCCAAGGATGGTGTAGGATCGAGCAGGGTTTTATTCTGGTGTACATATGAGTCAGAGCCTACGTAATGGCAGCATTGTTTGCCATTACGTATAACAATTTTGTGGTCACTATAAGATTTATTATGCAAACAGGCTGGTATGAGAACAAACAAGTACAGTCAAGCAAGGTGGTATACAGGTGAAGTAGTGACAGCTTTTTGATAATTGCTGTCACTGAGGGCAGGGGTGAAATCCTTCCTAAAGGGTACTTAAGGTCCTTACTCATGCTTCTGGAACTCCTAGAGGCTGTACCTTTCGGTTTGCAGTGCTGTTGGGTGGTGGTGGCAGTGTCTAAGAGAAATTTCTGTGCAGCTAGAGAACAAAACCAATTTCATTTACTACAATATGTATTCATATTCATATTCCTGGTCTGCTGCTGCCAAGTGTATATCATTATCATTTTTTGCTTCATACTAAATTTAAGGAAAGACATTTCATGAATAAGTTTGGATTTTTTTTTTTCCTCTCTACTGTGGATGTTTTAAAACATTACCTTTTTTCCCCCCTGTATATTTTGTTTGTTTTTGTGTTTGTTTTTTTAGTGTCATTCTTCCACTTCCTCAGAATGTGAAGGATTATTTACTTGATGATGGAACCCTGGTGGTTTCAGGAAGGTAAAGTACATTTAAACTCCTTAAGCATTTTAATAAGGAAATGTAATGATTGCATCTCTGCTTTTATCATCATCTAAAATGAATTAAGTTCTTAATCTTTATTCCTTCCCCTTAGGTCTGCTCTTTTTTCCTAGTTAAAATTATGTGCTCATCTTTCTCCCTTATTTCTAGTGAATGCTTAAACCATAATATTTTCAAGAGTTAGTACTCCTCCCTTCTAATAATCACTAGCTGTAAAGGTTAGCAATTTCTTTCATCTCTGCCTTTCAAAAATCAGTATGATGGGGACTTTTCCTTCTGAAAGTGGTGGCTTTGGGGAGCTGTGTTATAACCCTGTGACATCCTTCAGTTTTTAAAATAAAATATTTATTGTTCATTGTAATTAGAAAGCCGTTGTGGGATTAAGAATTTAATTTGATTTGACGGCATTTAACAACAACAAACAATCATAGAGGACTCATAGTGACTCTATGAATGAAAGACCTGAACATTTGTATAACTTTCATCATTTCTCCAAGTTCATAGGGTTTCCAGAGGCAAGCTATTTCGAAAGTGGATGCCACTCCTGCTTCCACACTTGTTTTTATCGGGTAGCTCCACCAAACCCTGTCCACCCTGGGTAACCATTTGACACATCAGTGTCACAGTGTTTAGCATCATAACAACCACAAGGATTTATAATTTAATGTCTTAAATTTTGTTTCTCACAATTTACCCAGCCTGAATTACCTTCTTTGTGGAGTGAAAAGAGGAAGTTAGCATTTTTCAGTCTTTTTGGTGCAAATTTGAAAAGCTTAAGAAACACTGAATTCAGTAAGTTTCCATTTGGATTTCTTCTCCCCATCCCCTTCAGGTCTCTGCTCAGAAGCTGAATTAGCATTTTTCCTTCTCACCATCTTTTCTGAAGTAGTGTAATAGTAGTCTTTACTGGTGCATCCTTTTTTAATGTCTCTCTCTTGCTTTTTTCCCCCTGCAAAACACTTTAGGATTAGTATGAGGATAAAAAGCATTAATATATGAGATAATAAAGTAGCTCAATACCTAATATTGTGTATACATTGAATAACTGCTATTATCATTAGTATTAATAGCAGTGAACATTAAGCAAACATATAAGTATATTAGTAAGAAGTGCTATGAAGGAAATGGAGGGCGGTGGTCACTGCATTGGTTTGCTGAGGATCAGGGCATTACAGGCTGAGATTAGAAAGTCTCTGAAAAAAAGTAACTTTTGAGCCTCTGAGATGTGGAGATTAAGGTTTGAAAGGTACCCTGTTGAAGAGTGGAAGTAAGAATCTTCCAGACTAATAGAATAATATTGACAAAGGCTCATAGACATGCTTAAGAAACAAAGAAAGGGTTACTGTGGCAGGAGCATTTAGACACAAAGAGAGAGTAGTACAGGTTTCAAAATTAGTGGGAAAGGGAAGTGGTTTGCACTCTCAGGTTACATTTGTATGTGTAGGAAGATAACATATTAGAGTTTAAAATGTGTTCTGAAGATAATAGGAAAATATTAAAGGAAAAAGAGAGTGACTTGATTTGGTTTAATTTTTAGAATACGATGGGTGATTTTGTAGACCTCAGACACCAATTTGGAGGCCATTGCAGTGGACCAAATAAGAACTTTGAACTAAGGAGGGGACAATTAAGTGGTCAGAAGTGAAGGAGATGCTGATTATTTTTTGATGATAGAGAAGAAATTATCAATTATTCTCCAATTTCTGATTGAGCATTTGGGTGAATGAAGATGCCATTTACTGAGATTGAGAAGAATTTTGGCCTGAAAGGGTATGAATTTTAGATGGAATCACTTTTATAGGTAAAATCTTGAACACTTAAGTGATACACATTTACAGATATTAAATAGACAGTTCAGTAGTTTTGATAAAATATATGCCTGTTTAACTAGTAGCCTTTTCAAAATATTGACCTCTTTATCACCCTGAAAGTTTGTTTGTATGCTTGACAGTCACCCTTCCACTCCCCATCTGCTACAAGCAATGTCTTGATTTTTATCATGAAAGTTTAGTTTTTTAAGAACTTTGTATAAATGGAATAGTATAGGATTTTTTTTGTGTCTGCCTTCTTCAGTGAAGCACAATGCTTGTGTTCATTTGTGATGTTATGCATATCAGTAGTTGGTGCATTTTATTATTACGTTCTTCAAACATGTCTTCTTAAAGCTCAGTTTTTGTTTATATGTCTAGGTGTGGATGTGTACATGTCATCTCCCTTAATGTCATGATTAGGTTTAAAAGATTAGTCTATGTGAAATTCTGCTTTAAGGGAAAATGGAGGATGATTCTATCTTTACGTAACTGCCAGCTTACGTTATTATGTAATTGCCAAACCACTGGGAATCATGGTTCAGCCAGATTGACACATAACCAGCCATCACAGCTAACTTTACTCTTGCCTTGAACCTTTGTGTGGTACTGCCATCTGTTAATTTAAAAATAGATAAGAGGTTCTTTTACTATTGCTGTATAATTTCCAATAATGAAATGGTCAGTAACTGAGAATTATTCATCTCATTACATCCCTTAACTATCCTAACTTTTTTGTTTCTATGCTGCGAAAGTAAGAGTTACTTGACTGCATATATGCATTTAAAAATAATGCTATTACTAATCTTGTGAATTCTGTGAATATGTGTATCCTGAATAGGAAGAATGGCAAGGTCACCCTGTAGAGGCATGCATGAAGAGACAGGAAGAATAGTAGTGGCCATCTTTGTAAATGATTTATCACGTCATCTGAGTTTTCTTTTCCATTCCTTACACTGTGTTCTTGTCTGGTCCTTGTGTTCTGCTGACTTAGTTTGGGGGCATTTAAAGTATCCTATTTTTGAAAATATTTTTAGTTCTTTTTCTGGAAAGACTGTGTTTACTTTTTAGATCTCTTGGATTACTCTGGATGTTGTAATTTCTCTTCAGTTGTCTATCTCCTTCTTCATTCTATTTTTTGGGCAGTTTCCTTGATTTTGCAATTCTTGTTTAATCTTCTGTCTCTAACATCTCTTATATATTATTAAAAACAATTTCTGAGAAGAGGATTGAAAATATTTATTCTCCTGTCTTTTATGTAAAGTGTACTCTCATTTTTTTCCATCTTTAGTTTTTGTTTCATTTTTAGAAAGTGAACTTTTTCTAATGTTGTCCCCTTTATTCAAACACTTGCCTTTTTGGCTTGTTTGTTTTGTTTTAATACTTAGGACACTGCAAATTTTACTTTGAGAGACTAGAGCCTTTTTTTCCTCCCTTATGTTTTTCTAGAGAAGATCCACCAGCATGCTCTCAGCCAGACATGGATGATGAAGCAGAAGAGATACAGGTTAGTACAAAAGAAAGTGTCTATTCTTTAGACTACTCTAAATGATCTCTGAAATGAGTCTGAATTTAGTTTTAATACTCATTTGATAAAAGTGAAAAATTTCATTAATATCTCATATTGACATGTATGTTTACATATATTTTGTGTTTGGGAAAAGATGTCACCTGTTTATCATTTTTACATGAAATACTGTTTTGGAAACCAAATACATGATTTAAATTTTTCCCTGAAATATTTTACTGTGTTTTTGTTGAACGTTTACATAACCATTTAGGTGCCCATTTGGTAGTTTGTACACAAAATGTTCATTGATGTTGATTACATTCTCAGTACAATTCATTCTGGCAAGGCCTGGCTTTCTCAGTATTTTTCATTTTGGAGGATTGGTTTCCACTAATCCAATTTACCTTCCTCCTTATATTCTTGATTTTGTGTAAAAGTAATTGTTGACAGTTTGGTCTCATGTAAATGATATTGTAAAGAAGCTCAGTACTTATGCTATTTGAGTCTAAGCCTCCTTTTTGTCCTCCTCTCCATACAGTGGTCAGATGACGAGAACACGGCCACACTGACGGTAAGAATAGAGCAGTGTCACTGTGAGTATAGTCTCACACTGTCATCAGGGATAGCATGAAGGGTTAAGAGCTTCCCTTTCTAAATTCCCATGCACTTATCATTTCAAATACCTTTTTCTTTATGAGTTATTATTTTGAAAAAGAACTTTAATCATTAAGTAAACATAGTTTGCTCATTTTTCCATTTGATTTCAGAGGCTGCATTCTCCGTGCATATGTGGTTCTTGGATCTATTTCACTTGAGCTTTGAAAAAAGAAATTAAGCCTAACATTTAAGTTTCTTTAGGTCTATTTAAGGTTTAAAATTTACTTATTTATACAAATGTACTTAAGTGGCATAAAAATTAGTTTATTTTAGGTTGGCGTTTAGAGAAGTATGTTACTGTAGCCAAAATTTTATATAAAAATTGAAAAATTATAAAAGTTGCTTGAACATATTATAGCCTTTCAAAATAAAATTCATCTTATAAATTTTTTTGGGGGGTCACAAAGAAACTTTATTACTTTTTTTTTAATTAATTTAGTTTGTTTATTTTTCATTTCAATGAACATCTACAGAGATTTTGGAATTCCATTCATTCATTGTTGCACCCTTCTCCCCGCACAAACACCCCCCGCCCCCATACTCCCTCAGTGGAAACTTTATTACTTTTATAACAGCCTCTTAGGCTTTCTTGTCGATGCCTTTCAAGGAGGAGTTTTCTGGGCTGGGGCTTTCAGACCCTCCTGAGCTTTTGAAGGTCCAGCCTTCTGGCCTGCAGCCTTCTCATTCTGGGAAGGGGCCTTCTCCTTCTTGTCCGCAGCAGTCACCTTCTTGGGTGGTACCTTCCCAGCACCAGCAGCAGCTGTGGCACCTCCCTTTGCAGCAACTGCTTTTTTGGGAGAAGCTTTCATAAGAGCTGCCCTCTGAAGCTTCTTAACTTCATACTTTATTAATCTGTTCCTCATTTTCTTTGCTTTCATGACTTTAAAGCAATCAAAATCTCTCATCTTGGCTTTCTTTTCTCTAGCTTCAATCTTCTTGGCCCATCTGTGGTTGCCCATTTTGTATTGATATCAGCTTTCTGCCAGACTTGTCGAACGTACTTCTAGTGGGCACTGTGTGGGAACTTGAGGATGAAGTCGGTGAGCTGCATGCATTTGAAAGGCATGGCCTGCCTTTTTACTTGAGTCTATGGTCCGTCAGCTAGAGCCCGGTTCTGATCAATAACGTTTACACGCGGCGACCAGTTTCCTGGCATGGGGTCCAAAAGAGATATAGGCGACCCAGCCGACCTCCATGTAGCGCCTGAACACCATGTTGGCTGCATTTGGCGAGAATCTCATCTTGTAAATTTTAATTTATGTTATCTTTTAAAGAAAATATTTACTGAAAAAAATACTTTTAGTAGATAAATGTTTTAAGATAAAAGAGAAAGATTTTTATAAAGTTCCCTCTATATAAATGTGAAGACACAAAATAGAAAACATTTTAAGGAAAAGGTGTTTTCTAATACAATTCTAAATAAGGGGATGTTTCTATTGTGATAGTTTCTAAGGTATAAGAGAAACAAAATGGTGGAAACACCTAAGACCATTTATTTCCTTAAGTGTTAAAAGTTATGTGCGCTGACATAAGTTGTTGTTGATTGCCTTTGAGTTGAGCACGACTCGTAGTGACCCTATGAGCAAAAGACCTGAAGCTTCTACAACTATCAACATTTATCAAAGTTCATAGAGTTTCTGGAGGCATGTTGTTTAGGAGGTGGATACCACTCTTGCTTCCAAACCTGTCATAGTATGGTATTGTTCTTATGTGCTGTTGAGTTGCCTGCGATGTATAGCGACCCTGTGTACAAAAGCTCTGAACCCTTCCCTGTCCTAAGCCAGTCTCACCAATTCTGACACACCAACTCCCATCGCCTCAATTCTGTATCAATCCTTCTCCTCCGGGGTCTCCCTCTCCCGCACTGTCTGTACACGTTTCCTAGCATGATGTCCTTCTCCAAGGACCATCTCTCCAGGCCATGTGCCCAAAGTAAATGAGGCATAGCTCAAAATCCTAGCCTCCAAGAAGAGACTTGGTTTCACCCTCTCTAAGACAGACCTATTTGTTTTCTTGGTACAGCATGGTATGTTCTGGACTCTTCTCCACCATCACAACTTGAAGGCATCTATCCTTCTTCTGTCATCCTTAGTCATTGTCCAACTCTCTGGAGCGTAACAAGTGATTAAGAAGACCATGGCCTGTATTAGGCGCACCTTTGTATTAGACTGACATCGTTGCTCTTCAGCACTCTGGAGAGGTCCATGACAGCACATTTTCCCAATGCAGTTTGTCTTTTGATTTCCTGACTGTTGGAGTTAAGAATGTTGATTGTGGATCTGAGCAAGCTGTAATTGCTAACAACCTCAATCTCTTCTCCATCCATCATGGTGCTGTCAACTGGCCCAGTGTTGAGCATCTTTGTTTTCTTGATGTTGAGCTTCGGTCCATATTAAAGACTACAGTCTTTGACCTTCTGCAGCAGGTGTTTCAGGTCTTCAGTTTCAGCAAACAAGGTTGTGTCATCTGCATATCCTCATAAAGCCCTGCCTCTTGAATGATCTGTTCTGCATACAGATTGAAAAGGTACGGGGACAAGATGCATCCCTGACAGACTCCTTTCCTGATTTTGAACCATGCAGTGTTTCCTTGCTCTGTTTTGAGGACTGCTTCCTGGTCCAAGTATAGGTTTTGCATAAGCACAATCAGGTGTTCTGCGATGCCCATTTTCCTCAAGGTTAGTCACAATTTATTGTGATCCACACAGTCAAATGCCTTTGCATAGTCAATGAAACACAGGTAGACATCCTACTGGTACTCTCTGCTTACTGCCAAGATCCATCTAACATTGCCAGTAATGTCCCTAGTGCCACGACCTCTCTAAACCCAGCTTGTAGTTCTGGTAGTTCTCTTTCAATGTACTGTTCAAGTCTTTTCTGGATAATTTTCAGTAGGATTTTGCTAGTGTGTGATATTAGTGGTATTAATATGATAGTTTCCACACTGTCAAGTCACCTTTTTTTGAAATGGAAATAAATATGTATCTCTTCCAGTCTGTTGGCCAAGTAGTTGTCCTCCAGATTTCTTGACACAACTTGGTGAGCACATGCAGGGCAGCATCTGTTTTCTGAAATACATCAATTGGTATTCCATCAATTCCTGGGGCTTTATTTTTTGTCAGGTCCTTCAGAGCAGCCTGCACTTCCTCCTTCATCACCATTGTCTCTTGCTCATAGAAATGCAGTTTTCTTTTACTCTAGAGTCAGTTGTCTTTCTTTATGAAAATTCACTTGGTATACTTACTACTTTACCATATTTGGGGCACTAGGATATCTTAAGGTAAATTAGGAGTCCTGATGATACAACAATTGTACACTGAGCTGTTGGCCAAAAGTTTAGCATTTCACAGCCCTCAGCACCTCAGCAGCTCCATGAAAGAAAATAACAATCTGCTTCTGGAAAGACTGCAACCTCATGTGGCAGTTCTCCTCCATCACTCAGGGTTGTAACTCACTGGCGACAAGTTGGAATGAACTGAGGGGCACATAGCAATGGCAGCAGTGAGGTAAACCATAGTAAATAGGATTTGATTGCTGTCATTAGGGAGTTTGTAAACTGGTGAGCAAAGATGACAAAGGGGAGGCATAGATGACAAAATACTGTCAGAACAGAAAGAACCACAATTACAACTAAAAGTGTCTTGAAATGCTTAAAGGGAGAAAGAAGACTTTGATCAGGACTTTAGAATTATAAAGATTATCACTGTCAAGTCATGATTATTGAGATATATGTAGACAAAGGATATAAATGTATTTGTATGTATGTGTATTAATGCCAAATTATCCAGTGAGGTTTAGAAGTAATACAATCCTGATAGCAATGAACACACTTAGTGCCCTGATTTTGGCTTTTTAAATACCATTTTCCACTGAAAGAATCTTAAGCTCCTTGCAGAAATTTAATATTGGGTTTAGGAAAATGAAAATGAGTCTAGAAAAACTTGTGCTAGAAGGTAAAGAGTTACTCAAAGAATGATGGGGCATAAAAAAAGGACGTAGATCCAATTTCAGTGGGCTTTCTTTCACTGACCAAAAAATTTGAGCAATGTAATAGTGACTTTAATGAAAGTTCTAAGAATCGTAATGGATAAAGAATAAGTTGTAGGTATTGAATACTGTTTGTATTTTATTGATATGCAAATACATTTGACTGTGTGTATCATAACAAACCAAGGCTAACATTGAGAAGAATGGAAATCCCAGAACACTTAATCGTGCTTATGCGAAACCTCTACTTAGACCAAGAAGCTGTTGTCCAAACAGAGCAAGAGAGAACACTGCATCATTTAAATTCAGGGAAAGTAAAGATCAGGGTTGGATCTTTTCTCCCTATCTATTCAGTCTGTATGCTGAGCAAATTCATTTGAGAAACTAGATTCTCTGAAGAAGAATGTGAAATTAGGATTGGAGGAGGATTTAGCAATAAACCTGTGTTATGCAGGTGACACAACCTTACCTGCTGAAAGTGAGGAAGACTTGAAATATTTAGTGCAGAGGATCAAAGATTACTGCCTTCAATAAAGACTGCATGTCAACATCAAGAATACAAAAATCCTCCCCACTGGACAGATAGCATCATTATAGATGGAGAAAAGATTGAGATTATCAATGATTTCATCTCATTTGGATCCACAGTCAGCATCCTTGTACCAGCAGTCAGGAAACCAGGAGAGATATTGTACTGGGCAAGTCTGCTATCAGTAATCTCTCCAAATTACTGAGGAGCAGTGATGTCAATTTGAAGACTAAGGTGTGCCTGGTCCAGGCCATGATTTTTTAAAAAGAATTTGATATGCATTTGAGAACTGGACAGTGAATAAAGATGACAGAAGAAGAATTGATGTCTTTGAGTTGTGGTGTTGGAGAAGAACATTGAATATTTCAGGAACTGCCAAAAAAACTCAACAGATAAGTC